AACATCATTAAACAAATTAAATTTGCCTTGCAGGTTTATACTTTATGTGTAACTTCAAATAACCATGGCCAGGACACACCATCCTCTGCTCATTCAGTTCCAGCTCAACCTCTCAGGCATCAAGCTCGAGCATCCTGATCCAGAATTTCTGTAACATGGGATTCATGCATTTAAACAGAAAGAGGAAACCAGAAACTTCAGAGTAAGACAGAGGTAAGGTACAACAACACAACTCTGATTTCCCATCCATCAAGACTTCTGCCAAATATCACATACTTTTACTAAAAACCCTATTTCTTTTCACAGGAAACTTAAAAAATATCTCAAGAGAGAAGTCTTTCTGCAGCACTGCACATGTAGCAGAAAACATTTCTGAAAGTGATGAAGATCCCCTTCTCTCAATTTACTTTTACAAGTTTAGTGATGCTTCATGCACAGACCTCACAGGAGGAAAGAATGAATAAAGTTTTCCCAGTCTCCACCATGAGCTTTCTGGTACAGATAAGAAACTTCAGAGACTGCTGTGCCATCTCTGTGTTTGCAGAGTTCTTAGGGATAAATTCTCCCCTGTGAGGGTGGTGTGGTTGCCCAAAAAAAACTGTGGATGTCCTATCCCTGGAGATGTCCAAGTCCAGACTGAACAGGGCTTGGAGGAAACTGGGATAGTGGGAGGTGTCCCTGCCCAGGGCACAGGGTTTGGAATGATAAAGCCTTAAGGTCTTTTCCAATCCAAAGCACTCTGTGACTCTTGCACCAAATATTTATAGCCCGATGACCAACTTCCAGCTGCAAAGCACCACCCTGGCTGTTCCGGAGCTGTACAGTCATTCCAGACACAGTCTTCTAAAGGCCCAGCACATACAAATCGCCTCAAGTGATAAATATCAGCCAATGCCTGGTTTCTGTCTTCTCAACTTCCAGAAGAAACTTTCCACAGCCAGGCAAACCCAGAGCCTTTTTTCAGTGGGCATCAGGTTACCCTCAGAGCAGCAGAGCAAACGCAGCTGCTGCAGTGGGAAAGGCTGGAGCTTTAGAGGGAAGAACAGCTTCTCCTTTGCTAAACCGTGAGAACAGAGCGTAATGAACAGAGGGTAATGAACACGGGGATGAAAAGCAGGATAAAAAAGTGATCTAATCGGGTTATTTTTTATCAGGCAGCTGAAATACAATCTGGGGCCTTGGTAAGGAGTCACCCTCACTATAAACCCTTGCGGCTTCCTAAAGTTGGCCTACTGCTTTAAAAAGGCTCCACAGCATATCACCATCCTTATCTCTGCTGATAAGCAGAGGCAAAGGTCCCGGACATGCAGCACGAGTCCCACGGGCACTTCTTCCCTCGGCATCGCGTGTTGTGTCCTTTCCGTGTCCCACCGCGTGGACAGGAGCTCCTTACACATGAGCGCTGACATTGCTCGTGTCACCACGCTACACAGCGGAACGCGCCCGTCCCGACCCTTCGGGCGGCCGGACCCACCGGGTTCAGGAGGGGCTGCGCAGGAGGCCGCGCCGGGAAAGGCAAGGTCACGTCCTTCCCCGCCGGGGAGCGCGCCTGCCACCCATCCACGCGCCATCCCCGCGGGGCCGGCGG